TATCCCCCACGAATATCGTGATATTGGGAACATAGCCTCGGGGATCTTATAACCTCCGATTTTCAAATGAGAATGCGAAGGAAATAGGGATATCATACAGCAATGATTCTCCATACTAATTTTCATGATAGGTTACTAACCAAATTGTTACGGATATGCCAAATATTTACGTTTTATGTTATCGTTGTTCATGATGTTTTTGATAAAAGATAACGCTTCTCTTCTTTTCAGTATTTATTTAACAAACAACAGCGAAAATAAAATATGATGCCAACGTGATGCCTATAATAAAACGTCCAGTTCCTCATGGACGTTGTTTTCGATAAATCTTACTGGGATATGGCAGGAATAAAATTCTTTGCTGAATCCAAATCTAAATCAGATTCTCGTTATATAGGCGTATGATTTTTAAAGTCGTTTGAGTTTTACTCGTTGCAATATCTGATGCGTCCATCGTAAAACCGGTTTTTTTTTTTTTTTTTGTTCTTTTGTCACATCTTTGTATTGACAATATGATTTCATTATTCAACGTTATTTCCGGGGAGGATGAAGTCATGGGGTCTGTACACACACCTACCTAATCCAATACATAGCATGAAATTGCTCTTTGCTTTTAATCGTCAGTATAGAAAACAGTAAGGACGGTTGATTCAATATAGTACATTGCCATTCACTTTAACGACTAACATCTTTAATATATGATTAATCCCTGTTACAACAAAGCACATTTGGATTTATGTTACTTATCTTATTCCTATGAAAAGAGAGCTACACAAAGAGATGTTGATGAATTTGATAAATGAAAACGGTAAAATGTCCAATTTCATGGACAAAATGAAGTCAATGTTCCCCTTGAAATTTTATTGCTCCGCGTTCATGTATCTGAAATATAGCAAATGTTGGCAATCGTACATTGGCAGTTCACACACGAGCTCATCAAGAGAACAAATTGCTGCTGGGGTCGAACGATTGGTCATAGGCAATGATACGAGAAAATAAACTACCGCAGCCTTCCCAAGGGAGACATTCCAGAGATAATCTGAATAATGTCTATGATAAGGCCCGTTTTCGGAATAACACGTGCGTGTAATTTGGATTTACGAACAGGATCAAAATATCTTTATTAAAAGTGTCATTGTGAAAGTAAACACAATGTACATCAGTCATCGGAATGGTACTCTTTGATAGGGGAAGAGTTATTTACAGATTATCAGGAAGATCTGAGAGAAAATCCTTGTTTGTAGTAAGCGTATTTACCTAGTGGAATTTCATGAACATTCTAACGGCAACAAATTATTGTTTCTTGCTATGGTCGCAAATTAGAAAAAAAAAAAACCGATAAAATCAATGATGCTGCATTCAGGATTGAATTTTGGTCAAATACATGGGAAAGAAGAATAGTCGCGTGGGTTTTAATGTAACAAATCATAACAAAGTGAAAAAAAACTAAGATTCTGTTTATCATCACCGCAAAAATAATTATCTTCAGAGTATCTTACCGTAACACGCAATTGTTAATGGTCTGTGTACATTGCATAGCGCAGTTATCGTTCCTACCGATGGGTCACATGACCTAGAAATGGAGTAGATCATCTGCACAACCTTTTCCCATATATCACAACCTGATTCTCATCTTCCTTGGTGGATTATTAGAAATGAGGCACAGCTGTATGTAGGAGCAGTTGCAACTTGCTGTAGATGAGTTTTTTTTATATACATCATATTCACCAAGGTTTCCAGTAAGGGTACATTTTTCACTAAATAACACAAATTAACGTAATTACATGGGAATTATATAACTGTCCCGTTAAGTGACACATACCAGGGAAAAAGTTGCGACGGCACAAGTTTTCGAGTAGTATTAATGAAAATGTATAACGTTTTAATGTACTTTATAGAAAAGAGTAACTAAAATGCATATCGCAAACTAAGAATCGGTGCTTTTTCATTTACCGAAGTACGACCATGTTTTCTTTATATCTATGATGTTATCTGATTTGATGACTATATAATCTTCTCCAGGAATAAAGCATACTTCTAGGATTAATCATCGCAAACAAACGATGCAAGGCTATGTATGTTTTTAGATAATGAACCACCACGAACAATGGTTAATTTGTCGTTTACTCGATTGTTCATGCAAAACTGCAATTGTGTTTGACAACGTACTTAGTAGCTCTTGCATAATCATTTCATATGACGCCCCACAAAATCAATAAAAGGACTGAACAGCACTCAAATATACAAACATGACAATCGGTGTAGACTTCATACTGTGGTTGTAAACAAGGTGATAGGATTAATGACATTGAACATTACAGCAATGCTTACATTAATGAGCTGGAGCTACATTAACGCCGATTTGGAAGTGTCTTGAGACAATTTTAATGAACTGCGAATGTTGAGTTCGTCTCAAGAGCAAATCAATTCATCAAGCTGTTATATATCTATCAAAGCATGATCCAATGTCTATAATTCAGATAGACGGTCCGGTATAAGTATTTCTTTATCAAGTCAAAGTCTACAATTATTAGAACTTGTGTATGTCTAATGGCTTGGATTAAAAGGATAGTCTTGCATTAGAAGACCAGCAAGCAATATTACTCGGTCATAATGCGATTATGTAACAGTTTTAAAAATAAAACAATTAAAAACAGCGTAATGCTATTGTCATGATTAATTTTGTCAATAGAGTTTCTTCTGAAAATGAAAAAATGAAAAGACAATTGCGCGGAAAGATAATGTTATACTAAGTTCTTCGGTCATCTTATTATAATTCCAGATAAAATGAATTTGCTGATTGAAGTGCTATTTCTCACGTGATTTTGTAAAGAATCTGTGTACAATCTATCTGATAGCTAAAGGATCATTTAAAATTGCTCGTCTTGTGGGCATGGCAAGTAAGACACAGTCGCATATGGTACATGTGTAAGCTGGGTGTCAAAATTGCTTTGGGGCGGAGAAAAGGGTAATATTTTAGTACATACTGCCTGTCCAGTTTTGTTTATATCAATTTTGAATAAATTACGATTTGCCACAGCCGGCTTTAAGAGTTCAAAGCTTTAGAAGGACATATTTAGAGGGACCGTATTTGTTCGGTATCTCATTATAGGTGTGTATTGAAATATGGTCTATTTACTTTAATGTGTTTGATAAAACCTATAACATGTCGGTCAAAACAAGCACATTGACTTTCTTTATAGATTTTCCCCAGTCGCCCCCAGGCTTCAAAATTTAGGCATCAATGACGAGTTCTAGAAAGACCAAACAGCTTATGATGCAATTTACTTCATTGTTTGGCTCTACTGTATCCAACTCTAAATTTGTATTAAAAGGTGCTATTCACTTGTGTGTCTTTTGTACAATCTTTGATAGTTTCAATGTAATTCGGTCAGACGTCTTCCGATGGACCATTGATTTCAATTCTAGGTTAACTGATAGGGGATGAGTGACATAAATCTGTAATTCTTTGTACAGTTAATTGTAGTCTAGACACAAACAGACTTCGGGGGAGAGCATATAGAACGGATGGATGTAATGTATATCACCTCAATGAGATGCAGCCTGTAATTAGCAATAAATGAAGGACGAATAAGATTGATCACTACAACGATGAATCCTGACTAGCCATTAAAACTTTATAGACATTTAAAGTCGGCTACATAAGTCAGCCTAATTTATTGGTGATTGGTGTCTGAGAAATAACGACATTGTAATATGATGGATATTGATTCTGATATCAGGTTTAAAAATTTCCCTCGTAGAGTGATATATATAAACTTTACTGAGTCAGATCAATCTTGCTGATGACAGTATATAAATAATTAAAGACTACATGTGTTGGGTATGCTCCTTCAAAAGTTTTTTTCCAATATTGTGCTTTCCTTCAAAATTGTTTACAACGGAAAATTAACAAAAAAATAGTCAGTGCCTTTTGACACAATATCACAAACAAGACAAATTACATATAAGATCGGTAAGCTTCATGGTGTATATGCCAAAATCCTTAATATGATCATGATCGCAATATTTATAAAAACAAACAAAATAATTCAAAATCTAGACAAAAATAATCTCGATAAATCATTGATTATTCAATTGTGAAACGCTATTGTCCCAACTTAAGCATTTAATTGTAAGTCAGGTAACGAAGCGAACATGTATTCTTAGAAAGAATTGTTCTTCTCCGTTCATTTTGCTTTAATCAGTGGAAAGATAACATCCATTCTTTTATCCAAGTAAATATAGTTATGTCCATGTATCTTATATCAGGAAACATGTGCTTTTGTTATGGGCTATGTGTTTACAACAGACACATACTGCTTTCAAATTCATCAAAAATGTAACACGACATTTGATTGGTCAATGAGAATAACATATGGCAGTATAACAACATTATTTCTCAATTACATTTTACATATCCTAGACGGTAGTTATTGATAATGTCAACGATCTCGACAATCCAAGAATATTACGCCAGGAAGATACTGTGACCATTAAAAGTCAATATATTTTCTCTTTATGTGACATACTATGAATATTGTGGAATGTTCTCCGAACTTCTGAAATTATGCCTAAAAATGAGACTAATTCTTGGTGTTAGAATACATTCAAGCTTAAGGTTTTAGAAGTATGTAGCTGTATAAAATTTTAAAAATCATTTTCGCTAGCTCCAATGCACTCCACTTTTGAAAATCAATCTCAATATACCGGCGGATATTTGAAATACAAAAAATGATATTACCTATATGATAAGTGATATATCATTCAACAGTTGACCATTACTGTAAGGATGTTGTTGTTCCTGATGTTTATATCTTCGAAGATCGAATATAAACGGTTTTAGCGCACAGTTACTCGTTATCCTTGGAAAAACACTCGTTGTATATGCTTCCTTATTACACACAACTGAGCTGTGATTGGCTGAAGGATTCTTACTGTAAATCAAGATCTGATCTAATACCAAATATTACTACCTAGTAAGATTCCATAATACCTACCTGCGCATGCCAGGTTAGCAATGAACATGTTCATACGCGACTTTAGCTTCCGTGAGAGATAGATGAGAGTAAGTACGACACAGTTCGCTGTCAAGGTCAGGGTGAATAGAAAACACAGGAACGCCACCTGCTGGGTCTGAAACAAAAATAAATTAGACAGTGTATGTAAGGTAAAATTAATCTTGTGTCTCCTAAAAATCTCCATAGCACGATAAAGAGGGGGAAACAGAGGTCTCACAAGAATTTGTAGATGTGTATTTTGGCAGTGGTTGTGAGATTGCAAATATATTTAGTATACCAAATGATGCTTATTGGTGTCTGAAACGTCTTTATAATATCAATAGTCAAAGGATTTTCTTCATTGTTTTTGAGCACCAAAGACTTAAAAAATGCTCACGTCTCACACGGTTTCATCAGCACTAATATTTAAATTGTTATTTTTTAAATGTAATTGAAAAGAGGCTCCGAGTTAGAGAGATACCTGAATTGTTAATTATTGTAAACAACAAATTCTTTTTCTTTGTGCGATATAACGCTGGACGTGTTTGATACTTATTAGTTTGCCAGAAGGTTCCGTTGTAAACCCTGTTCTCATTTGAAAACTTGACATTATTTACTTAAGATTTGAATTCCTGGTGTCGTCAATGAAGCAGAAGACGCTTACTCTTCTGGAATAGCTGGTCTTATTTCCGTATACCTTTTGATGTTGGCAATTTTTTGTTTTTTGTTTAAAAAAAAACAACAGAAAATATGCATGCCTGTCAATGATTAATTCGTTTTTGTTTATCGCGAATTTTCAGCAATGTGATTTTAACAACGATTTTATCGACATGACTGATACAAATTGTGAACTGTGAATCAATTTGTTATTCTGTCAAAGTATTTGGCAATATTCTCACTTAAGAAATGGACATATTGTCGTGATTTTAGCAATAACAAAAGACGACTGTTCGAGAACGCACATAACATAGCTGCAAGACCATGACAACTTATCGATCTGTTTATGTACATCATCACAACCAAGCGTAGGTTTGTGTGACAGTCCATTACGATTCGAAATGATTTTTCTGACAGGCAGCTCTAATAAGTTAGCCGACGAAGCCTATATGTGATTTTAAATAACCAAACTTCCGTGCAATATGCTGTGTTGTGTTAAAGAAATACATACTTTCCTTGAAACTATGTCAGAGAAAAAACAAAAAATGTGTCATTTAAACTTAAATCAACATCATTTGCTATTAAAAATCTCAAAGTTATTTCAAAGCAGGGTTCTGTGATGTGGCCCATTTATAAGATCTGGTTGTTTTAATCAAACAGGAATGCAAAACATGCCACAGATGAAATGACCAACTTACACAGAAATCATAAGGAAGTGTACATAAACATTACTGTCTAAAGGCAAAACAAAGGGGATATGTTTGATTTCTGAGAAATCACAGTCTGACGGATTGTGGTAATGTATAATAAAGGAGGCTGGGTTGCTACATTTTGGTCTATCTGAAACGAATTTGGTAGCTAGGTCGTCGGAAATACGCTGCACTACCGGCCTTAATATCAATCGTACTACTTAATATCGTTTAAGCATTATACAAGCAATGTGCACAATTGTTCAAAGACATGAACTGTAAAGACGTTAAAAGTATGAACTGGAAGGTTTTATTATCGTTTTGCCAATATAGACATCCTCGCAACACGCAAGGTCAAAATAAGAACGGATTTCAAGAGGACCGCAAATAGCGAAAAGTAAACCATATGATGAAGGAAGAAACAGGAACAGACCAAGATCTAAACTCTCAAAAAGGATGCATCAGATCAAATAATTTTTAAAATATTAGAAAAAGATTGAAGTTGATTGAATACTGTTGCACCCTATCATTATCTTCTTTAATCTTCCCCAAAGAAATTGATTTGAGAGTTAGTTTTAAAGGGAAAAATATTAAAAGACACCAAGGACAAGGCATACAGATGAAGGATGCTTGACTCCTTATCTTACTCACAGTGGTCAGGATGAAAACATTTTGGATAGGATTGTTCTTTAATACACATTCTGCTTCTGTAACACAAGTAAAGTGATTTTATATGAGCAGAAGAAATTCTGCTTTGCAATAATGCGAGGGAACAACCGTCGAGTTTTGTGCACATTTTATACTAAAGTACGCCTTTCATTTCCTTGGGTTTGCATAGCTAGTTTAACTATAATTAAGAAAGATAAAAAAGAGCAATCGGCCAATAGAGCTATTCGTAAATTAGAAGGAATCAGAATAGTTTCTAAAGTTATATACTAATTACTGTGAAATCTAAGAACAAATTCAAAACAAAATGAAAATAAGACATATTCTTATTTTGACTGCTATCATGACTATACCTAAAGGGAAACCAGTTGACCAGCGAGAGATCACTACTTTACGTAATTGATATCAGTGACGCAGAAAAAAAACCCGTCTAGTTATTGAGGAGTACACAGTTCATTTAAGGCCAGACTGTGGTATATATATATTTAAGGTTCGTTGTTTGAAGCTGCCGTTGAGCGTGAAAGAGATACGTCGACTCATTATTGATAACTGTCATATTAGATCAGATCGGTGGGATACATGTCGACCAGAGTAATGAGGGAGATGACGAGCTCCTCGGCAAGGACTAAATGTCTGGCGAATTAGAATCGGTTTGATGCGATGTGCAGACACACTCTAAACGAACACTCGGGTGTCTCGATATTGTAAGAATTCTTTCATAAAGGTGGTTTTGTTTATGTCTATACTTGAAGCTACAAAGACGCGTGGAAAGCGGAATCAATGGTAAAAGAAAACAAAGCTGGTTAAAATATATTCACTGCGTGGAATTATTGGTGAAGATATTAAAGGTTAAAGGCTATAGAATGAGAAATTAGTATTGGATAAGTTTTTATATCCTAGTTCCAAGATCAAAACGAGACAATAGGGATATTTTCTTCCATCATTTTCCAAGAGAGCGCTGTTATGTAATTAGTATGTCAATTTTTGTTAAGCCAATTTGAAAAATTGAAGAAACCTTCTTCGCAAGAATGGTGATAACGTTTTTTTCCCAATTGTTATATGCCTTTGGCATTTAAGCATTACCTGACGGGATGAATATTTCGACAAAAATCAACTATTACATATCAAAACGAACATTTTAAACTGATATTAGATTTCTTTTATAAAGCATATCGCTAAGAATATAATTTAAACGCTTTCAAACAGAAAGTATCTTACATGCATTGAGACTGTCTTTGTGATTTTCTGAATATCAATGATTATGATGTGATTTCATACTAAATCTTTACATGTCGATCATGCAATCGTAAAACAATCCATTTTGTCTTAATTTCGTTGAATTTTAGTTTGAATTCTATTAACATTTTGGTATTTTATTTTGTATTCTTGACAAACTGGAAACTGTGTTGACCGTCAATAAGTCAAAATAAGTCCTATTAAGAAAACCTGTCTGTGAGTTGATAACAATTACTTTACTCAGGGGCTTACGTCAACTCTGATACTCTTCACAGTAAAATGTGCCAGAGGGTATTTCTAGTTGAATTCCGAACAATATTTGGAATATCACATTAATGAAAATATTGTACAAGGTTAACATCATTCCGAAGTTATATGTTTTTGTTATAATATTTTATATAAGCAGTGTTCACCAAATTATTCTCCAACAGTAAATCATGTCTGCACATACGAATTCAGCTTTTCTTATAATTGCATGATTGAAAGCGTTGACCAAACTTTTACAAAAATAGTTCATAAGATTTGCTCCAGAAGGTGAAGTACAACCATAAACGAAATTATTTTTATGTGCCTAGTCTTAGTATATTAGTAAGTATACCGATATAAAACATACAACGCCAGAAATTACATCAGACGCAGAAAATTGTGTTGACAGTTAAGCTTGAATTCCATCAAATTTCATGCCATTTTGCTTGCACATTTCTAGGCGTTTTCATATAATATTTCTTTCGTTCATATTTTGTTCTAATTTGATTAAATTTGAGTTTGGATTAAGAATCTGTTAACATATTGGTAATTTCTTTGATATTCTCGACAAATTGGAAACGGTTTTGCTAACAGGTTGACCGTCAATAAATCAAAACGAAATGGTCCCATTAAGAAAATCTGTCTGACTTGATGACAATTAGTTTACTCAGGGGTTTACGTCAACTCCGATACGTAATACAGTCAGGCACATTCACAGTAAAACGTGTCAGATGTTAATTATGGTTGAATTCCGATCAATGTTTGGAATATGACATTCTCTTGCACCATGATTATCACTAAACAACGACGGCCCATGTAAAACCATACCAATGTGTAAAAATCTGTCTTTTGTTCATAGTTTGCCATAGTTTTATCAAATTTAGTTTGAATTATGATAATGTTGACATGATCTTCCTTTGTTTTTTGTTTTTTTTAGAAGTTAAACTGGCTAGAATTATAGAAATTGATCTAAATACAAATAAAATATTCTAAAATGATGTCATATTACAGAATTCGATACAAGATGATAAGACGGCGTCTGATCAATTTCTTATTTTGAATTGAAAAATAGTTCATTTGATCTCATTCGAAATATTCCCTTAAGTATGAAACAATTTAAAGTTATTACATTTTGCAAAACCTCGAAGTAATATTGATTTTTATGAAAAGTGTTATCTCAGGAAAAAAAAAGAAAATACCATATGTGAACATAATCCAAACTCCGATCAATAAAACCTTTGCAAAATACGAACGAAAGAGAGATTTACAAAACATGGAATGAAATTGTACAAGAAGAATAAAATCGGATATCCAGGAAGAATAAATGACTTCTTCGTCATCGGCGACAACTGTCACGTAAATATTGTTTAATCCATGAAATTAGAGTCAAAATGAGAATAATTTCTACAACAACGCTCCGACAGGCAAACTCATAATCCGTAAAACGGTCTCATAATCGACCTGAAAACGAATATCAGTTTCGGATCATTTATCCAACTAATGTATATAATAACCAATTACAGTTCGTCAGACCTGAACTCCGAACGAAGAAAAAAGAGTTTTCCAGACTGGATTCTGGTACTGAACTCATGTTTCTCTTTCAAAACATATCATTCTTCTTTTCGACAAAATTGAAAATGAATTGGAGTGTACAATAATTTCAATTATCATATCTATTTAGATATCATATCAACTGAAAATTATTTTTTTT